AGGACAATTTCAGGTGATGCAAAGATTAACATATTTTATATGTTTATTTTAAAGTGATAAGTATAAGTAGCACACTTGTGACTTCATGGATATCACTGCTTACAATAAGGCTAAATAGACATGGTGAGTTGATTTTAAAAATTAAGTAAATAAGCATCAATAACATGTGTTCACTGTTCAGATGTTCCCTCACACTCTCCGGTATGTAGCAGTAAATCATGCTGGGTCCATCTTCAAATACATTCAGGATCTGATCACTTTTCTCCACCCCAGCAACAGCCTTCTATCAGGCCCCTGCTGCACCCGCCCTCTGCAGCCTATTCTTCACACGGCCGCTAGAGGGAGCCAGTTAAAACAAAGAGGATCATGCCCCTGGCCAGGAACCTACAGGGGCTCCCAGCCCACTCAGAGGACAAGCCAAAGACCCAACAATGTCCTGTATGGACCTACAATCGCCCTCCAGTATTTCTCCCATCTCATCACCTCTTTGTTGGTTTTGGAACATGCCAAGCATGCTCCCACTTTCTCTGTGCCTGGAACATTCTTCCTCCAGACAGTGTCATAGTGGTTCGTCCATCACCATGAAGACCTTGCTCAAATGTCACCTTCTCAGGGAAGCATTCTCTGATTACTTTCTCTGAGCCAAACCTACCCTCTCCTAACATTCCTCTCTCCCCTTCTTGGCTTTATTTTCAATCTTGGCACCTTTACCTTCCAAAACACTTTATAACTGATTATTTTGTTTATGGTTTGTCTGTCCTTTCACTAGACCCCTTGAGCTAAGGAATTTTTCAGTTTTGCTTACTGCAGGATTCTTAGCACCTAGAACACAGTAGTATTAAACCAAGTAGGAGCTCAATAAGTATTTGCTAAATGAATGAACACAAAGTTCCATTCATGCACATACACATTTTACAAGAGAGAGAATCCATAGCATTCACCAAAGCCTTAGAAGGGTAGTCTACCACCCAAGGGTTCCCAACTCACCCATTTTGGGCCATGTTGGTCAAGTAGATTTACCTTCCAACGGGGCAAACAATATCACTTAGCCAGTTGGGGCTATGGTTATTTTTCATGAGGATTAATGAGTGGGGCCCTTGTTTATTCACCAGTCTCCTGTAAAGTAGGTTAGAATGAATCAGTCTCCCTGCCAATCCATTTGACTGTAGTGAGAGGTGGTCCTGACTCCGTCTGTGATACCTCAGTTCATAAGCAGTGGCCCCTAGAGCCCGCCACTTCCCACCACCGAGAAGTAGGTATTGCCTTGTATGATTTCTGTTTCATGCCTTGTCTTCCCAGCTCAAGTGGAAACTTCCCAAGAGCAAAGGACCATATTTTCTTTTCTAGGACCAGGTGTTAATGAGATGAATACTCACCTCAAGCAGCCATGGGTTCAAGTCCCACTCTGCCACCTATTGGCTGTGTGACCAGAGATGAATTCCTTAACCTCTCTGTTTCCTTCTCTAAAAAATCAGGTCTAGCAAGAATAACTCCTTCATTGTGTTGATGGGGGGATTTGACGAGATAGTGCATGTAAGTGTGGTACAGGATAGTGAGCGTGGAGCTTGCTGAAGTGAGGGATTTCAATTCCCGTGACAAATATTTACTGAGTGCCCACTATGTTATAGGCATTGTGCTAGGGACTGGCGGGGGTGTGTGTGTG